GATTTTTGGGGGTCAAAATCCAAAAATTTCAAAAATCCGAGATAGCAGTTTTGTAGCCCTGTCAATTCTACAGCTTTTATGTCCTTATCATTTTTCTGTATTTGCAAAGCTATAGGCCTGACAGCTCTTCCCGCGGAACCCTTTTTTGGGTCGAAAACGGCAGAACATGACGTCACTCTGACGTCATTTCCGGCCAACCTATCATAGCCTTTGGAAAAAATTTTGGTCACCATGTGTAAAATTGATGTCCGGGAGGGTACTGAAAGTTTGGTGACGATCGGCGCAGCGGTTCTGGAGATATATCGAAAAGTCTGGAGGGGGGGCAAAAAATAGCCCCCCCCCACCAGGTCGCGGGTTAAGCAAAAAGATTGGGCTCTCAAGATCCGCCTTGTTGAGAGCTTTCGATTGCCGTGTTCCCCGTCTTTCTACGACCATCGGTTCAGAAATTAGATAGGGGGGTGAGAATCTGCCCCCCCCCCCCCCCCCAGCAGGGCGCGTATGGCTGAATAGCCCAGCGGGGCGCCGGTTAACAACCGCATGACTCCGCACTTCTGACTCCGCTCGCGGTGGGTCACGTTTTTGCGACAAGCGGTAAACGACGATCGAAAAGCGAAAACAATTGCCAAAAGTTATTCGATCATTTGAGGTCAAGACAATGGTCAGGTCACCAGAGGTCATTGAAGGCCAAGTTTTTTTTTAGATTTAACGCTTTTGAACATGAGGCTGGCTGATAGCTCACATATTGCAGCGAATTTTGCTAGCATGACCTCAGATTCGTACTCTTGCCAAGGGTTGGTCTGCTTTACACCGTCGAAAAAGACGTTTTTGCTTAGCCAGTGTCTATGCAAGAGTCGTTAACCCGCGCCGGGCCGGTGCTCTGAAATTCCGCGCCGGGCCGGGGGGGGGTGTCTGAACCCCCCCCTTTTAACTCGGCTCCTGGGCCACGTAGCGACACGCAGTAAGCGGCAGTCGAAAGAACGTTCAAAATAAGGATGAAAACACTTCGGTCATTTTTTGGGTCAGGTCAAAGGTCAGGTCACCAAAGGTCACCAAAGGTAAAATGTTGACTATTTCAACATTTTGGAAACTGCCGGCGGCTATCTCGGGAACCGATAGAGCTACAGCGCCGCAGAAAAGCGCATTCGATAGCCCTTTTACAGACCTTTCTAAGTAATGTTCTCAGATTTGACCTCAGGTCAACGGTTTAGCCTCCAGAGGTCAAAAACTCCAAACGCCTCTATCAGAAGTTATTAGCGAAAAACTGTTCGATTCTGTTCGTGACCTGAGTTGACCTCGGGGACATAACGAGGGGTCACAGTTGCCATTTTCCGGTTCAGTGTGTCGATTTTTCATTTTACCTACACCTCGATGTTCGAGAATGTCTAGAATAGCGTTCGTGCAAAACAGACGCTTTTCAATCTTCTCCTATTGACTTATAATGGTGAGGCCGCAAAATTGACCTGACCTTAGGTCACCGATATCAAAATTCCGAGATGAACATTTTATAGATGATGCTGCTCTAATCAATCGCTGAAAGTTTCAAGGCAATCGTTCAGTCGGTGTAGCTATGACGAGCATTCCTTTTTTCTGAGGTGAGGTCACTTGGCGTGACCTGGTGACCTGACTCAGAGGTGAAAAAAACCCTGCTACTCGCCTGCGTGCGTAGGTGACAGCCATAGGAATAAAGAGACAGATTCGAGCATCTCAGTTAATGCATCTAAAATTGATAACTAGGCGGTTTCCGCTAAAATCAGAGCTGTCTTCCCATAGAGGGCCACTATGGACTACGGCACAAAAATTTAACAGCGTCATCTCTTTGTAGACAGCTGGGGCTGAAAAATTCCGCCGGTGCGACAGCCGGTGCGTTGTGACAACGCAGGAAAAACGGCGACAGCGCGACAGCGGCGACAGCATTGACCTAATAGAGGTCAATGGGCGACAGCTCGTCCCCGCTCGACGCCGGTTGAGCGGTGGCGGGGACCGGCGCGGCCTTGGCCGCCGCTGGAGTAGGGGAGGACTGGGCGACTGTGACGGGGGACGTCACATCTGGGCCACAACTGGGGTGAGGTCCATGACCATCGGTCCCAGATACCTGGTAGGAGCGTTGATAATTGGTTCTGACTACTGAAGCAAAGGCAAGTGAATCAGTGACAGTTCTGACAATCCTTTCGTGAGTTCTGATTGAACTGGATCAGGAAGCCAGGACAAGCTAGGAAGTCGATCAGACCTATAGGTAAGTTGGATGATAGTGTTTTTTTGTTGTTGTTGTTGTTGTTGTTGTTGTTGTTGTTGTTGTTGTTGTTGTTGTTGTTGTTGTTGTTGTGTCACTGAAATGTGGTGATGCGTATTGCGTTGTGATGCCCAGAGGCCGAAATTTGAAAGGTCAGTTCCTTTCTAACATTCTAGCCTCATTTTCAATTTTTAGGTGTTCAAAGGTGATGAGAAAACGCAAAAATATGGTACGTACCTACTCATACTCTTTCAAGATGACTTGTAAAAAATTCGTGACAGCTAGACATCGCGTAGGTGACAGCTATTGAGTTTTATTCACCTCTGACCTGACTTAAGGCGATCTGGGTCTGAAAGATTCACAAGTGCGGAAAAGATGCACGAACAGGTGTGCCAAAAACGGCGGCGGCGCCGTTTTCGAGATATCTGCGAAAAACCACAGGGGGGGGGGGTGGGTGTTCAAACACCCCCCTCGGCCCGGCGCGGGTTAAAATAATGCTATATTAAATGCTATCGTAAATTATGTAGTCTATTTCCGGGTAAGTATATCAATAGTTGTATGACATCGATTTCATCCACATTCTGAATTCTGATTATTTCGTTGATACACATAAAAACATTTGTAGTTTGACACTACGTTATGGACAGAGAAAACGGGGATCGATTTTTATCACCTCGTCGCTCAAAGTTGCAGAACATTCGTCTAATGAGTGCATGGAACTGTAGACTGTATGGTATTTTACCGTGACCTGATTAGAAGCAATCTGCTCTCAGATGCTTTAGGATTGAAATAACTAGGTACTCGCAACATATGGAGGTAAAATGTAGGTATGCGAAGTTCTTTTGTATTTTTTTAACTTTTTTTTTTAAACAATCTTATGAACGGCGTAAAACACCCAGCTCCACGACGCAGGCCTGGCAAGTAAACCTATTCTAATAGATATCTGGTAAGTTTCTTGTCTGCCGAAGAACATTAGCAATTTTTCATAAAACTCTGAATACAGATACCGTTATGAAGGCACCTTAAGGCATTTGCACCTAATAATCCCTTGAAATACCAGTGGGAAAATTAAGATCACTGTCTGGACCACAACAATGGGCAGTGGGCACCCTGCATTACGGCGTCATTTTTTTCCACATGATATAGATGAGAGCCGGACGCACCGGCAGAGATAATCAAGGTTCATGTCCGTTGACCCCCCCCCCCCCAATCCGCTGATCCATCGATCCGTTGATACAGTTAAGGAATAAATACTAATAAGTCTCAGGCTATTATAAACATCATATTTGTAAGTTGTAATCATTGTCTCACTTTACGCAACAATCCTAGCACCGGACATGACTCGCTCAAAGTCGCCGTATTTCCCTTCGACTCGCTCTGGTCTCGGTCTGCGGTCACCCGTCCAGCTCCTCGTATACTGAGGATGTCCCGGTTTCACAGAACGGTGAGTAACGGCGGGTGTCGGTCACAGCCTGTCGCCACGCAGACTGGACGGAACGGGATGACCGACCGCCGGCCACGGGACGTCAGCAGCCGAGCAGAGCGTCATTACATCATAATGGAGATATGGGGAATTCATCGGAGATTTCCAGCGCCGACAGAAAATGCAATGTTGAGCAACCAGATAAGGTCGCGACCGGAAACCGCTACTCATCAGTGCGTGAGGAGTCGTACCGGGAGGCGAATAATTTTAGTCTTTAGAGCACTAAAGTAAGGACGAATCCTGCACTATCCTGTAACGGTGATAATACGAACGGTATGCCAGCGTCGATGCATTAGTCGGTACCACACACCTTTGATGGTTGCCTATCATTTGGCACGATCTAATAAGGCACTTCCCTCTCGTCGCCATATTTCCCTACCCGCTGATTTCAGACACAGCGGAAGCAGGAAGCAGGGCAATGATATAACATCACAGGCATTCAATGCAAAACAAAATCCCAACGATGGCTGTCCTACATCTCTGGGTGCAGCACCGTCATCGGTGACGTAAAATGACGTCACAGACGCATCTGCTGACGTCATGACCTAGCGGACTGGCCTGTGACGTCTCTTGACACGGTCAGAAGAAGTCCATGTGGCTATGAGAGCAAATGCTTCACAAGAAGTAGGTAATAAACGCATTGGAAATTACTTATCCAAGTGGTACTTCATATAAAAAGACGTTTTGCTGTTTTCACTGTCATCAGTTGAAGCTGCTAGCTCGTGAGTGACAGTGTGTGCTCCCGAAGAAGACATCTGAAGTTCGTTGTGGGCTCAGTGGACATAAAAGAAGAATCCTCATAGATATCACTAACCGCTCAATCACTAGCTGGTAAGTTATGTCATCATATTTTACGAGGCTTCGGTTGGTCATACTGTCGGTAAGGCCTAGGACCATTTATCTTATAAGTTAATAAAAAGTTTTCGTCCCTTTTCGTTACCTGTCTCACGTGTCAATTAATCTTGGCACATAATCGTAAGTTTTATATGCTATCAACATGATTGAAATCTATTCAATCTTCAAGAACACACATTTGCATTACCCAGTGAAGTGACACCACACGAATGTTTACCGCGTCCACATCAGTTTATACTGTACGAAATAAACATTTAATTAATTGTCGCAAGTTAATTGTCACATGGAGCTAAAGTGAGGTACGAGGTGCCAGGTAGGTACGAGTGCCAGGTAGCCCGCGCCAAAGGAAAAGACAGTCGGTATTCCGGCATTAATATTCATTAGCGTAATACATAGAGCTGACATCTCATCCTCCCTTTCCGTAGGAAGACGATGGACGACATACAGTTCCGGTCAGCCGCTCACGAGGTGATCGACTACATCCTCCAGTACCAGCGGACGGTGCGGGACCGGCCAGTGCTGCCCTCTGTGGAGCCCGGCTACCTGCGCCGGCTGGTGCCCTCCGAGGCGCCACCTACGCCCGATCGCTGGACAGACGTGCTGGCAGACATGGAGCGGGTCATCCAGCCGGGCATGACCCACTGGCACTCGCCGCACTTCCACGCCTTCTGTCCGCTGGCCAACTCTCCGCCGGCACTGCTGGCAGAGATGCTGGCGCACGGCCTCAGCTGCGTGGGCCTCAGCTGGGAGGCAGCGCCGGCCTGTCTCGAGCTCGAGGTGGTCGTGCTAGACTGGCTGGTGCGCCTGCTGGGTCTGCCTGAACACTTTCTGTCCCAGTCAGGCGCTGGAGGTGGCGTCATCACCGGCTCTGCCACCGAGGGCGTCCTCCTGACCATTACAGCTGCCCGTGAGAGGGCGCTGAAGGACCTGCGCCGGGACCAGCCCGACTTGGACGAGGCGACTGCACGCGGCCGGCTGGTGTCCTTCACCTCCGCCCAGGCCAACCCAGCCATCCTCAAGGCAGCTGCCTCGGCCGCTGTACGCATGCGCGTCCTGCCAACTGACGATGGCTGCCGTCTGCGGGGAGATACTCTGCAGACTGCCGTGGAGGAGGAACTGGCCGCTGGAAACGTGCCCATCTACGTCCTGGCCACCCTGGGCACCACTGGCACGTGCGCGTTCGACCCGCTGGACGAGCTGGGAGCCGTGTGCCGACAGCACGAGCTGTGGCTGCACGTGGACGCGGCGTACGCGGGCGCCGCGTTCGTCTGCCCCGAGTTCCGCCACCTACTGAACGGCGTGGAGGAGGTCACTTCCTTCAGCTTCAACGCCCACAAGTGGATGCTGGTCAACTTCGAGTGCGCAGCACTGTGGGTGCGCGACTCGGGCACATTCACAGCCGCGCACAAGATCGACGCTCCGATCCTGCACACTGCCGAGACGACGCTGCCCAACTTCCGCAACTGGTCACTGGCGCTGGGCCGCCGGTTCCGCGCGCTGAAGCTGTGGTTCGTGCTGCGTCTATACGGCGTCAGCGGGCTGCAGGAGTACATCCGCGGGCACGTGCAGCTCGCCAGGCAGTTTGAGGAGCTGGTGAGGCGTGACGACCGGTTCGAGGTGGTGGCGCCCGCCTCGATGGGCGTGGTGTGCTTCCGCGTGCGCAGAGGGGGAGACTCCGCCACGGAAGAGCTGCTACGCCGCGTGAATGACGCCAAGAAGGTGTTTATCGTGAAGACGACGCTGGCCAACGGGGCGCTGGCGGCGCGCTTCGTGGTGGTGTCGCGGGTGACGACCGCCGAGGACGTGGTCACCTCCTGGGAGGAGATTCGCCGGCACGTCCAGCCGAATCAGGAAGAGAGCGAGGCGGCCATGGAAGGGGAGGAGACTGTGGCTCAAGAGGAAAGCATAGTGACGAAAGAGGAAACTTCAGCCCAAGAGCACAGTCGCGTGACAGGGAAGGTTGAAACCCATCCTGCGATACACGAGAAAGAGCTTGATGGCTGCACCAGCAACACTGGAAAGCTGGAATCCGACGTGGCTGAAGATTGCCAGTCTCAAGGCGTCCCTGCGTGTGCAACGACCAGAACCGCTCGCATGAACCTCACCCGCACAAAGTCCGGGCGATGGACTGAAGAAATTCTAGCCCAGCGCGACTTCGAGGCGGAAATGTAGACCAAAAACTTACTCAACCGTCAGAGCTGGATGCTCCTCACAGTGCACCCCTCGATCTCTTATTATGTCATTGATTTTATGCGCAGTTATCCACCACCCATGCGACTAAGGTATGAATGTAAATTATATCAGAAATATAGAAGCATTACTATTATGCGCTAAAATTGGGTTATAAAAGGCTAAGGCCCCAAATAAAAGTAGATAACTGAATGATGCATTAGCTTTGTTTAGCCATTTCGAGTGTGATCGTAAGATTTGTGTCTTTTCTGTTGGACGATAGAGAATCCGCTAATTAAGGTATAATCATTTCATCGTTGTAATAATCACCGGCTCAAACGTCTGTTCCAACTGTTTCACATCAATGCATCCTCATTTATAGGTGTATCTGTGCTTAGCATTTTAACAATGTCTCCAATTATATTTGTTTTGATGCAATGGCTGGTTTTAGGTACTTGGTTGCATGTATGTACTTGTCAATAAACGCTTTATCCGAACCAGTAAAACGCCTTTTGGGTGAAGAACGAGCGGGCGAGATAGTGAGCCCTCACGTGCGCAAGGGCGAGAGGGTACTTCCAACGGGCTTGTGCAAAGCACCCTTCTAACCGGTCGCTAGCGGTGTGCCAAATTTGAACGCAATCGGCCCAGCCGTTCCTGAGATCTGGAAGCGGCATTCTGCACGTGCGCACGTGCAAGCAGGGTCCAAACTGACTTTTGCACGGCACCCTACTAACTGGTCCCCAGCCGTGTACCAAATTTGAGCGCAATCGGCCCAGCCGTTCTCGAGATCTGGGAGCACCCCCTGCACGTGCGCACGTGCAGTAGCACCCCAACCTTAAAGGTCAATGGTTCTTGACAGGCTTGGGTCCATACCATACTTAAACGTGATATGAAGCATGCAGAGCTTTGCTTTGTGTATTTTCCAGGAAGCATTTCAGCAGACCCGAATCGTCAGTGGCGTAATTTGAGCCAGGAGTTCCTGGCATTCGCCTAATTGGAACTCTGAAGTCGGAACCTCTTCCGTTCATAGCTTGAAGAGAGCACTGATTGGATAATTTTGCCGATAGAGAGGCGTTGGCTCAACTTTCATCAGGCTAACAAGCTGCAATTGAAGCTAATCTGAAAATAAACAGCCGGCTTTCTTACCTGCAATTTAAAACATGCCACCGGCGCATTCACAGCAATGGCTGGTGCGCAAAAGCATTGACAAAAAAAGTAAGAGACTGAGATAGTAACAAAATGTTATGCGTTATGCAAAAATTTCGTTTCTGAAGAAACGGTATAGTCAATTGTTTCCTGTGGCTTGATTATGAACTGTTGTTCGAAAATTTTGTCAAACAATATAACATTTGCTTTTTTATTGCATTTCCAATTATTTATCGAGGAAAATGTCATTTGAAATTCTAACTACACATAAAAATTTCGTTTCTATCAAATTATGCGATCGAAGGACGAAGTACGGATGGCGCCAGTTCCCTGTGTCAGAGTAAAACTTAAAATCGCCACGTACAACTCTCGCGGTTTTAGGTTTCTGAGATATAGCCGGAAATGTGGCAGGCATGTGTGTTACGGCAGGCAAAAGATTCGTTTGATAGGATTTATCTATTGTCGCCTCTTTGATGTACGTAATAACTGAAAAATACACATAAATAACAATCAGTCCATAAAAACGATAATTGATACAAATATGACGCTCATTCATATAAAGCATAGATTATCACAGCCAAAAGTATGAGAAATAAAGCAAATAAATGGTTAAATCAGTAACGAAACAAGTCAGTAACATATTGGCAAATCATTTGGATAATAACATAATCATAAATATCATCTATTCTATCACCTACTCTCTCCTTCCTTTGGCATAGCCCACGTGTCAGATATCTCAGCGCCGAATCACTGGCCACGACGCGCAGTGCGCCACGCAAACAAATCAAGGGCCGCGTTCGCCGCGCTATTCCTGGGGAAACCCGCAAGCAAATTGTAATGCGGGAACATGGCTCCCCCAAATTTGAACAAAATTTGCACTTCCTCTAAATCTCGACGCGAGAACACATCGTAACACCCTAACACCCAACACATCGTCACGCTCCTCTGGCGAGTTCAGTTTTGCACGCGCACTCACTGATCGCTCACTGATCATCCCACTCACTGATCAATATAGTCCGTAGCAGATCACTGAGCACTTTGTGCTTCGATTGGTCGACCTGACCAATCCACATCAGGCTTCCTCGACGGGGAATCACGTACAGTCCCTCCGCAGGAGAAGCACAAGGCGGTGCACCGGCCTCTCGTACTCGGAGCCGCCCAGGAGCACGCGAACCTTCCGCACCAGGCGGTCGCCGCTCGGGTGCGTAGCGACGACACGCGCCAACGGCCACTCCGAGCGCGGGCGCTCGTCGTCCACGACGAGAACGATGTCGTCGACCTCGATGTTCTGCACAGCCCTCGTCCATTTGCGTCTCTCTTGTGCAGCGTAGACGATCTCCCTTCTCCAGCGGGCCCAGAAGTCGTTCGCCAGGTGTTGGATGCGCCTCCACCGCTGGCGGGCGTACAGGTCCGGCGAAGAGAACCTACCAGGAAAGGGAAGAACTATTCTACTTTTCTGTGTAAGGAGGAGGCTGGGGCTGAGAGGTTCGAGTTTGTTAGTGTCAGACATATCAACTACAGAGATGGGACGGCTATTGACTATGTCCTCTACCTCACACATCATGGTCCGAAGCAGCTCGTCGTCCAGCTGCTGTCCGTTGGTGACCAGAAGGCTGGTCAGTGCTGATCTGGCACAGCGGATCATTCTCTCCCATATCCCGCCCATATGACTGGCATGAGGGGGATTGAATGAGAACTCGATCCAATCACACTGGTCCTTCAGCAAAGCTTCTGTGACCTCTGATTTCATCTCCTTCAGTGCAGCTTTCAAAGCGCTCTGTCCACCGACAAAGTTGCTGCCGTTGTCGCAGTATAGTCGCTGTACAGGTCCCCTTCTACAAACAAATCTCCTGTACGCATTGAGAAACGAGTCGGTTGACATAGAGTTGAGCGTCTCCAGATGCACCGCTCTAGAACTCAGGCAGGTGAAGATAAGTCCCCACCGTTTCACCTCACTTCGACGCTCCTTCACAAAGAAGGGGCCGAAACAGTCCACACCACAAAACGTGAAGGGAGCGGACGGCTCCAGCCGTTCGGACGGGAGATCAGCCATCTTTTGTCCACAGGTTGAGCCACGCAGCCTTCTGCAGAGCACGCAGCGCAGAACGTAGCTCGAGACCGCTGATCGTCCGTGTATGACCCAGTAACCTTGCTGTCTGATCTCACCCAGCGTCATTTCTCTTCCAGAGTGGCCTGTTTTCTCATGACACTGACGAATGATGAGAGTCGTCACATGACTGCTCTTGGGTAAGATCACCGGGTTTGTGACCTCTTGAGGCAGGCTGGCCCGCCTGATCCTACCTCCAACACAGAGGAGGCCATTGTGTCTCATAACCGGGTCCAGTTTTCTCAGTGAGCTGTTCCTCTTCTGCTCTTTCAGCTGACAGCTGGACAAATCATCTTCCGTGTTGTCCTTCGACTTCTCGAGTGTTTCACTTCCATCGTGACACTGCTCTCGGACAAGAACCATCTCGTTCTTGAATGTCTCTTTCTGCAGCGACCTCAAGATGATTACTTCAGCCTCCTTGAGGTCTTGTACTTGCAGTTCATCCTGCGTCCGAGTTCCTTCACTGTTGTCAGCACGACGCTTCTTGCTCGCTTCTTGCAGCTTCCTCATGTACCGCAAGCAGTTGGCCACTGCTTTCTTCGCGGTGAACCACGAGGAAAATCGCTCCAGTCGTTCCAGCAGAGTAGGATACACTGCTGCGGGTGTGCTGCTCTTGGTCATTAGTGAAGCTGCTTTCTTCACCTCTGGGTCTCGCTCATCTACCACTTCTTCGTTGTCCACCAGCGGTAGATCTGTTGAGAGGGAGAGGAATGCTGGTCCATGCCACCAGAGATGATTGTCAACAAGTTCTCGCACACAACTGCCGCGAGAAGTCACATCAGCAGGGTTCTCAGCTGAAGAGATGAAGTGCCACTGATCGGGGGTCGTGTGGTCGTTGATCAGCTGCACACGGTTAGCAACATATACGTGAAACCTTCGAGAACTGTTCCGTATATATCCCAGTACAACTCGGCTATCGCACCAGTAGTGTTGTTCCAACGCCGGGATGCTCAGTTCGTGTCCCAGGAACTCACCGAGCTCAGAAGCCAGCACTGCCGCCGCGAGCTCCAGGCGAGGGACAGTGATGACTTTCTTCGGCGTCACTCTCGACTTGGCCATCACCAGGTCGCAGGTTACCTCATCGTCTCGGATAGCTCGTAGGTAGCTGCATGCACCATATCCACACATGGAGGCGTCGGAAAAGTGATGCAACTCGTATCTAGTCGCGCCGCTGCTCGGTCGCATGTTGGCTCCATACTGCCTCGGGAGCCTCAGAGCCGAGAGGTTCAGCAGCTCCTTCCTCCAGGTAAGCCATTCAAGGCCCAGCTCCTCAGGAACTGGGTCGTCCCATGTGCAGTCTTGGCCACACAGCTCCTTGATGATCATCTTTCCACGAAGCGTGATCGGCGAGATCAGCCCCAGCGGATCGAAAACAGAGCTGACACCTGAAAGTATGCCTCGCCTGGTCAGTGGTTTTTCAGGGATGTCGATGTTGAACAGGATCGTATCAGAGAACAGATCCCACCTTACTCCTAGTGCCTGCTCACAGACCTCAGTCTTGTGCTTCAAGAGGTCCACATTCTGCAGCGTCTTGGACCTGGAGTAGATCGGGATGGTTCCCAGAACTGCAGAGTCATTGCTGGCGAACTTTCCAAGCTTAAATCCGCCTTCAGCGCAGAGTTTCGTCGTGTTCTCGATGAGCGAGATGGCCGTACTTGCTCGAGGCGTTGAAGCTAGCCCATCATCGACATAGAAGTCGCGTTTCACGAAGGCGGCTGCTTCCTCTCCGTGTCTCGACGCGTACAGCTCTGCTGTCAGGTTCAGAGCGTGCATGGCGCACGCAGGCGACGAGATGGCTCCGAAGAGATGCGTGGTCATTCTGTACAAGACAGGCTCCTCTTCCACGTCACCTCCCGGCCACCACAAGAATCTCAGTAGGTTTCTGTCCGGCGGTGAAACCACGACTCGGTTGAACATCGCCTCAATGTCACATGTCAGCGCGATCTTCTCCTTTCTGAACCGCGTCAGAATGCCTACCAGGTTGTTGGAGAAGTCAGGTCCCTGCAACAGTTCCCGATTGAGGCATCGTCCACGGTACTCGGTACTGCAGTCGAATACCACTCTGACCTTGTTTTTCTTCCTCTCGATGACGCCATGGTGTGGGACGTACCACACACGTCCATTGCTGGCCTCGATTTCTTCATCAGGGACGGGCTCGGCGTACCCTTTGGCCAGCATCTCTTCCATAGCTCTGACGTACAAGTCCTTGTAGTCGGAATCCTTCTTGAATTTCCTGC